GTAATTTAAAAAGCATATTAATTTTAGCCATTCTGACAGGTGTGAGGTGGTATCTTATTGTAGTTCTGATTTGCATTTCCCTGATGTTGAGCATCTTTTCATGTGTCTGTTGGGCCATCTATATGTCTTCTTTGGAAAAATGTCTATTCGTGTTTTCTGCCCATTTTTAATTGGATTATTTGTATTGGGGGTATTGAGTTGGATAAGTTCTTTAGGTATTTTGGATACTAACCCTTTATCGGATATCTTTTTTGCAAATATCTTCTCCCATTCTGTAGGTAGCCTTTTAGTTTTGTTGACAGTTTCAACAAAAACTGTCCTTCACTGACCAGAAGCTTTTTATTTGAATGTAGTCTCAATGATTTATTTTTGCTTGTGTTTCCTTTGCCTCAGTAGACTTATCTAGGAAGAAGTTGCTATGGCTGGCATCAAAGAGGTTGGTGCCTGTGTTGTCCTCTAAGATTTTGGTGGTTTCCTGTTTCACATTTAGGCTTTTCATCCATTTATAATTTATCTTTGCATATGGTGTAAGAACATGGTCCAGTTTCATTCCTCTGCATGTTGCCAACACCATCTGTTGAAGAGACTGTCTTTTCCCATTGGATGTTCTTTTCTGTTTTGCTGAAGATGAATTGACCATATAGTTGTGGGTTTATTTCTGGGTTTTCTATTCTGTTCCATTGATCTGTGTGTCTGTTTTTGTGCCAGTATCATACTGTTTTGACTACCACAGCTTCAAAATATATGTTGAAGTCTGGAATTGTGATGCCTCCATGTTTGCTTTTCTTTTTCAAGATTGCTTTAGCTGTTTGGGGTGTTTGTGGTTCCATTCAAATGTTAGGATTGTTTTGTTCTGGCTCTGTGAAAAATGCTAAACAACAACAACAAAAAAGATGTTGGTGAGGATGTGGAAAAAGGAGAACCTTCCTACACTGTTGGGAATGCAGACTGGCACAGCCACTCTGGAAAACAGTATGGAGTTTCCTCAAGATGTTAAAAATAGAGCTACCCTACGATCAGCAATTGTACCACTAGGTGTTTACCCAGAGAATACAAAAATACTAATTCAAAGGGATTCATGCACCCTGATGTTTATAGCAGAATGATCTACAACGGCCAAATTATGGAAACAGCTCAAGTGTCCATTGACTGATGAATGGGTAAAGATGTGGTAGGTACACAATGGAATATTACTCAGCCACGAAAAAGAATGAAACCTTGCCATTTGCAATGATATGGATGGAGCTAGAGTGTATTACTCTAAGCAAAGTAAGTTTGTCAGAGAAAGACAAGTACCATATGATTCCATTCATATGTGGAATTTAAGAAACAAAACATATGAGCAAAGGGGGAAAAAGAAAGAGACATAGAGTTAAGAAACAGACTCTGAACTATAGAGAACAAACTGATGATTACCAGAGGGAAGGTGAGTAGAGGAATGGGTGAAAGAGGTGAAGGGTACTAAGGAGGGCACTTGTTGTAATGAGCACTGGGTGATATATGGAAGTGTTGAATCACTATATTGTACACCTGAAAGTAATACTACACTGTATGCTAACTAACTGAAATTTAAATAAAAACTTAACAAAAGCATATTAAAAGATCAGGTAAAGGGGCGCTTGGGTGGCTCAGTGGGTTAAAGCCTCTGCCTTCAGCTCAGGTCATGATCCCGGAGTCCTGAGGTTTCTGCTCAGCGGGGAGTCTGCTTCCCCCTCTCTCTCTGCCTGCCTCTCTGCCTACTTGTGATCTCTGTCTGTCAAATAAATAAATAAAATCTTTAAAAAAAAAGATCAGGTAAAGTCTGGAGATTAGTTAATAGCAATGCAACAGGGCCACTTTCTTAGTTTTTATAAAAATACCCTGATCTTTTTTTTTTTTAATTTAAAATCAAATAATTAAGGCGGAAGAGTCCAAGATGGCAGAGGAGCAGGAGACCTTAATTTTGTGTGATCCCAGGAATTCAGCTAGTTAGGTACCAAATCATTCTGTAGCCCCGTGAACTCCACTGGAGAGCTAAGAAAAGAATAGCTGCAGCTCTACAAATAGAAGAGCCACCGCTTTCTGCAAGAATGACAAGATGGAAAAACTCACCTTAAAAAAGAGAAAAAAGACAGTAATGACTGCCAGGGACCTAATCAGTATGGACATAAGTAAGATGTCAGAACTAGAGATCAGAATGACAATTATAAAGCTACTAACTGGGCTTGAAAAAAGCATAGAAGACGCTAGAGAATCCCTTTCTGGAGAAATAAAAGAACGAAACTCTAACCAAGTTGATATCAAAAAGGCTATTAATGAGATGCAATTAAAAATGGAGGCTCTTACTGCTAGGAAAATGAGGCAGAAGAGAGAACTAGTGATCCAGAAGACAAAATCATGGAGAATAAAGAAGCTGAGAAAAAGAGATAAACAACACAGCCACATGCAGTAGAATGAAACTGGACCATTTCCTTTCACCATATACAAAAATAGATTCAAAAGGGATAAAAGACCTAACGTGAGACAGGAATCCATCAGACTCCTAGAGGAGAACACAGGCAGCAACCTCTTTGACCTCAGCCACAGCAACTTCTTCCTGGACACCTTGCCAAAAGCAAGGGAGGCAACAAGGGCAAAATGAACTACTGGGACTTCAAGATAAAAAGCTTTTTCACAGCAAAGGAAACAGTCAACAAAACCAGAAGAAAACCAACAGAATGGGAGAAGATATTTGCAAATGATATATCAGTAAAGGGCTACTATCTGAAATCTATAAAGAACCTAACAAACTCAACACCCAAGGAACAAATAATCTAATCAAGAAATGGGCAGAAGACATGAACAGACATTTCTGTCAAGAAGACATACAAATGGCCAACAGACACATGAAAAAGTGCTCCACATCGCTCAGCATCAGGGAAATCCAAATCAAAACCATGATGAGATAACACCTCACACCAGTCAGGATGGCTAAAATGAACAAGTCAGGAAACGACAGATGCTGGCAAGGATGTGGAGAAAGGGGAACCTTCCTACACTGTTGGTGGGAATGCAAGCTGGTGTAGCCAATCTGGAAAACAGTATGGAGGTTCCTCAAAAAGTTGATAATAGAGCTACCCTACAACCCATCAATTGCTCTACTGGGTATTTACCCCAAGGATACAAATATAGTGATCTGAAGGTGCACATGCACCCCAATGTTTATAGCAGCAATGTCCACAATAGCCAAACTATGGAAAGAACTCAGATTTCCATTGACAAATGAATGGATAAAAAAGATGTGGTGTATATATATACAATGGAATATACTCAGCCATCAAAAAATGATATCTTGTCATTTGCAAAGACGTGCATGGAACTGGAAGGTATTGTGTTTAGCGAAGGAAGTCAATCAGAGAAAGATAATATCATATGATCTTACTGATAAGTGGAGTTAGAGAAACAAGTCAGAGGATCATAGGGGAAGAGAGGAAAAAATGAAGCAAGAATAAACTAGAGAGGGAAAAAAACCATAAGAGACTCTTAACCATAAGAAACCTAATAAACCATAAGAGGGTTGCTGGAGGGGAGGAGAGTGTAGGATGGGGTAGCTAGGTGATAGACATTAAGAAGGGGATGGGATGTAATGGGCACCGGGTATTATATAAGACTGATGAATCATAGGCTTATACCTCTGAAACCAATAATAAATTATATTAATCAATTGAATTTAAATTAAAAATGTTTAAAAAATTAAAAATGCAATGCTTTTATATTTTAATAAGATTTTTAAAAAGTCAATTAGTTAACATGTAGTAGAGTTTAGTGATTCATCAGTTTCGTATAACACCCAGTGCTCATCTACATCAAGTGATAAAAATACCCTGATATCTTAATGTGAACAGTGGGGAAATTGGTAGAATTCTGTTAGTTTTGCAAGTTTTCTGTAAATCTAAAATTAATTCCAAATTTTTTTTAAAGATTTTATTTATTTATTTGACAGAGAGAGATCACAAGTAGACAGAGAAGCAGGCAGAGAGAGAGAGAGAGAGAGAGAGAGGGAAGCAGGCTCCCTGCTGAACAGAGAGCCCGATGAGGGACTTGATCCCAGGACTCTGAGATCATGACCTGAGCCGAAGGCAGCGGCTTAACCCACTGAGCCACCTAGGCGCCCTAATTCCAAAATTTAAAAAATTATATATAAAGAGATGATTGGGTAAGTTTTAAATTGTATTCATGCATTCATTTATTCACCCAAGATTGGTTGCTTATTATGTGTCAGGTCCTAAGTCACGTTAGGGACCAAAAGTCATAGCTCCACTCCTTCTAGGGTTTACAACTTAGTGGTGATTCGGCAGGAATAATATCTCTATTGCTTTTTTAAAAAGCAAAACTCAACTACAAAGCATTATAACTTAACAAAATCTTGGCTGTGGGCTATATAAGCAGAATCCTTGCTCTATCACTTTCTAGCTTTGTGACCTTGGCAAAGCTAACCTCACTGTGTGTGTTTTCCTCAGTGGTAACATGGGGCAAAAAAAAAAAAAAAGATTCCCTCATCGGTGGTTAACAGTGCTTAGCATGCATTAAAGCACTTACTATCGGTTATTACAATTATGATTATAATCATTAAAAAGACACAGTGATTCATAACACGATACAGGAGAGCGTTAACAGGGACAGGGAGGGTGACATTTAGTCAAGGAATGTATCCGGGTTTGAAAACAAAAATGCTTTTCAGGCAGGGATGGTCACTGCCTGCGTGGGTTTAGGAAGAGCAGCTCCTCCCCGCCCCCGTGCTCTGGCCCCGCCCTAGGCCCCGCCCCCTTCGTCATCTGGCTCCACGGTTGCCAGTCAGAAGGAGGGGCTTGACGCCCACGCCCAGAGGGAGGGGCTGAAGGCGGATCCTCAGTCCGGCTGGAGTCAGGAGAGGTCCGTGGAGCACCAGGCCTTGAAATCTCCCATCCCCCACGGGGCGGAGCAAACCTGAAGTGGCCGCCGCTGTTTTGCATAGCAATGACCAGCTTTGCATAATCAGGGAAGGCAAGCATTTAAAGGAGACGCTACTGCCACAGACCTAGTAGACCCGCGCAGATCCACTGTTTGCGATGATGCTGAAGATGCAGGCTCCTCTTCTGATGGCCTTGGGCCTACTTCTCGCCGGCCCTGCGGCCCATGCACATGTCCCCGTTCGCGTTCCGGTGAACCCGGTGAGCCCCCGTTTCCTCTGGTGGCTGCTTCCAGCTTGCCGGCCCAGTTGGGGTGGGATTATGGGGGTGACTACTCAGGTGTCTAGAATTCCTTCTCTTTTGTAGAGGCTCCTAAAGTCACTAACTGTGGGACTGTGAGTGGGTCCTTTTCTCTCTCCGAGTTTTGGTTAGCTCATCTGGGCAGTGAAGGTGGACTGCTCCAGATATCTGGGAAGGGTTAATCTCCCTCAGGTCTCTACTCTCTTGTCCTCTTCTTCCTGAGCATTTGAGTGAAATTTGGCAGAACTGCAAGGCTAAGGAACTGCTCCCAGGCCCAGAGACTCAGCCTTGTTTACCTGCCTGCGCCCTTTCACCACCCATAAAAAGACCTGGCACCCATCCCTTCCCCTCTGTACTGCTCTGTGTCTCAGCTTGTCCTGATGGGTGGGTGGGTTTGAGAGGCTTGTTCTTCCCGTGCTCGAGATCCAACCCTGTGACCCACTGCTTCTAGTTACAGGCCACAAAGAGTCTCCAGCTTCCTCCTTCACTTTTCACTCACCCCATGCTCCAGACCCTTGGAAAAGGGAAGTTCTGTCATTCTGGGATCTGGAGCAGCCTAGTTCCATTGCCTCTTTGCTGCATAGCTGTGGGCAAGACACAGATGGGCATGATGGTACCAACCTGCCTTTCTCAGAAGGATGTGAGTGAAAGGAAATGCTTTTGTGGATAGAAAGGCTCTAAAATCTTAGGCAAATAAAGTGATACAAGCCAGTAGGCTTGGCCTCATCCTGCCCCAGGGGCAAGGGGTCCCATTTTATTTTTCCTGTTGAATGAAGGCATAAGGACCTGTTGGCCTTATTTGCCCAGAGGATTCCCAGTTTGACCCCAGGTGTAGGCTGAGAATGTTTCTCTTGGTTCCAGGGCTGACCGCTATGAGGTGGAGTCTGGCTAGAGCTCCAACTTGCCCTACATTCCCATTCTCTTATGTGTCTTGGCCATGGTTGCCATCCCAGACCAGAGGGCTTTAGATAGATCAGCTGTTTTGGGGAGGCCCTGAGGTATCATAGAGTTCACCCACCTCGCTCAGGCCCCTATAGGATACGGGCCCGCACACCATTCATTGTGCAGCAAGAGGCACTTTGTTTTCTCTGGGCTCATGGTGATTCAGAGCCCTATGCCTGAGACCATAGGCCAGATAAAGGTAGTGGGTGATAGTGAGCATTTAAGCATTTGGAAACCTGAGTTTTATTTCCTTTTCTGGCATTAACCAGTCTCGTGTCACTGGACTGTGGCCAGCATTAGACGGGGGCGAGAATGTCTAATCCCGTGCTAGGCATACAGTAGGTGCTTAATAGACTCGTTGACACTGAATAATGACTGTCATTTATTGTGCACATACTCTGTGCAACGTGTTGAGCTGTGTGCTTTTATTCCTAATAAACTTTTGTGGGGGAATGCTTTCTTTTTTTTTTTTTTTTAAGGTTTTATTTATTTATCCGTCAGAGAGAGAACAAGAGAGAGAGCACAAGCAGGGGGAGTGACAGGCAGAGGGAGAAGCTGGCTCCCGGTTGAGCAAGAAGCCCAATGTGGGGCTCGATCCCAGGACCCTGAGATCATGACCTGAGCTGAAGGCAGATGCTTAACTGACCAAGCCACCCAGGCATTTCTGGGGGAATGATTTTAGATTTATAGAAAAGTGCAGAGAGAGTATGGATTCTCATAAACTCCTCATCCCATTTCCCCTAATGCTAACATCTTCTATTACCATTGTGCATTTGTCTGAACTGACAAACTAACATTGGTTCATCACCATGAACTAGATCCAGACTTTATTTGGATTTTACCAGTTTTCCCATGAATGTCCTTTTTCTGTTCCAGGATCCAGTCCAGGGCTCCACAGTACATTTCTCATCAGATCTCCCCAGGCTCTTCTGGTCTGTGACAGCTTCTCAGTCTTGTGTTTTCATGGTTTAACAGTCTTGAGGAATGATGACCTGTATTTTCTGTACAGACTTCTCTTTTTCCCAGTAGCCCTGTGAGAAGATATAATTGTGCCCATTTAATAGATGTGGAAACCAAACCTCAAGAGGGTAACTTACCCATGGTCTCAGCTGAGGGGTGATTGGCACCGAGGTCTGTGATGTCTACCTGTATTTTTGCCTCCAGACCTGTGCCTTTCTCCTCTGCCCTATGTTCCCTCTTCCCACGTATTGGCCTCTCCTGGGAGTGGTAAATACAGTGGTCTCCCCCTTACCCGTGGTTTTGCTCTCTGTGGCCTGGATGCGCAGTCTGGGAGCAGATGATCCTCTCTGACATCATCGGAAGTTTAATAGTAGCCTAATATTATATCACAATGCCTGTGTCATTCCCCTCCCCTCATCTCATTAGACAGGCACTTTCTCGTCTCACACCATCAACAAGAAAAAGCACTGAGTGTAGTATAGTAAGATATTTTGAGAAAGAGAGAGACTACATTCACATAACTTTTGTTATGATTATGATGGTTCTGTTTCATATTAGTTATGGTTGTTAATCTCTTATGGTACCCATTTTATAAATTAAACTTGATCATAAGGATGTATAAAAAATATGCATAGAAAAAAACATAGACTATATAGGGTTATATGGGGTTCAGTGTCGTCTGTGTTTTCAGGCATCCACTGGGGATCTTGGGACGTATACTGCACAGATAAGAGGAACTCCTGTGCCGGGTCTGGCTCGTAGTGAGCATTGCTAATCCTTCCTGCCTCTGTTTCCAGATGAGGCTGGACCCAGCTGCAGAAATCACTGCCACAGAAACCTCTAGTCGGGCACTGGGAAACTGCGTTGTTATGCCTCCCCCAGGACCTGAAGGACAGGGAGCTTGGGAGAAGGGAGGGAATTTTTCATCTCTAGCAGGACACTCCGGATACCTGCCCCAACCTGGAAGGAGTCCTTGATGTGAAGCAGGTTGCCTAAGAATCTGTGAAAGCAGCTCCAGAAAATGGCTAGTCCTCCTTACCAACCCTTCAGCCCAACTCTTAAGTCCAGGCATTCTTTCATTCGACAGCATCCTCCGAACTGGTCTCCCCGTTCCAATCCATTGGATTGGACAATCCACTTGTCCCTCTCCAGTCCATTCTCAACCATAAACCAGAGCGTGGCACTCTCTTGCAGAGGGGTTCCATTGCAATATAGTAAGTCCAGGGTCCCAGTTACGACCTACGAGGTCATACATTAAATGACCTTGCCATCCCTCTAGCCTCATCCATGTCATTCATCTGCTACACCTGGCCCTATAGCCTTCCTGTAGTGCCCAGACCAGCTAAAATTCCTACCAGAGGGCCTTTGCCCATGTTGTCTCTGTCTGGAGAGAACATTCTTTCTCTCTGTACTTACATGGCTGACTCCTCATCCTGCAGGAATCCGGCTTAAGTATCATTTCCTTACCGACTTATTTAAGTATTTAAGTAAGCCCTTTGTTACTCTCAACATGACCTCTGTGCGTTTCTTTTCTGGCTCTCAGAAATCATGGTGGGTAATATTTATTGGCATTAGACTTTAAGCTCCTTGAGGCAGAGCAAGAACACTTCTTTCTTTCTTTTTTTTTTTTTTAAAGATTTATTTATTTATTTATTTATTTGACCGAGAGATAGAGATAGAGATAGAGAGAGAGAGAGAGACATAGCAAGAGAGGGAACACAAGCAGGGGGAGTGGGAGAAGGAGAGGCAGGCTCCCCACTGAGCAAGGAGCCTGATGCAGGGCTCAATCCCAGAACCCTGGGATCATGACCCAGGCTGAAGGCAGATGCTTAACGACTGAGCCTCCCAGGCGCCCCAGGGCAAGGACATTTCTAATTGTTTACCACTATTAATACAGACTTAGCCTAGGGCCCATGATCATTGCTCCTTAAGTATTTGTGGGATGAATACTGAAGGAAATCTTTACTGGTACCTGCCCTGTGTGAGGGGCTGTGGGGCGCGCAGGCATGGATCAGGCCCTGTCCTGTTTTTCTTACTCATGTCATGACATTTCATTCCAAGGGACAGAAACCCATTCCAAGAAGCTCAAATAAAGGGAAGTTTACTCCAGGTATCCAAGGAATCTCATGGAAGTAATGGCAGGAAGTGGAGGCTGGGCCACATCCTGGCTTTCATTCTGTGAGCCAGTCAAACTTTGGGCCTGGCACTGTGTTAAGAGCATGAAGCTCTCATGCTCGTGCTCATCCTCACAATCGCCCTAAGAGGAAAGTATAAAGCCTTCACTTCAAAGATGTGGAAATTGAGGTGCCAAAGGGGAAACGGGCTCACAGAATCATGTGATATGTTGGCTGAGCCACGCTTGTTGACTAAAGCTCTGATGTACCCTATATCACCCTCCAGAGTCATGCCTTCCACTGCTACTCCGTACTGCCTGGTTAGACAGGGGTGCGGGTGGGGAGGGGACACCTCTGTTCTCTCCCCCGGAGACCAGCAGAGCCCTTAGTTCTTGTCTCTTCCCAAACTTTGGCTTGGTCATGAGTCACAGGTCTAGGTATTCTGGCCTCATGCCAAAGGTTATCACACAATAACAGCACAAAGTCCTATAAGTGATTTTTGTCTCAACCTCCATGTCCCAGAGGCAGAGAGAATCTGTCAGCCTAGCTTGGGTTAGGTGTTTCCTTTCAGCTCAGTTGGCTGTGTTGACGATGGGGTGAGCTCGGGGGTGTGGGGCTGGCGGGGTTTCCTTCTAAGATGGGATGTGCATGGTGGGAGTGCCTGAAGTGTCTCTTAGATGGCCTTCAGGGGGGGGAGAAAGGGGTGAGTGGGTGGGCAGAGTCTGCCTGATATAGAAAGTGTTAAAGATCATGGACAAGTAAGCAGGGTTCTGTGGGAGTGGGGAGTCAGCAGTCTTGTGTAGCCAGACAAGATGGTGGAATTCTAAGACCTCTGGGGGATGTGGAGAAGAGGAGAAAGTGGCTGAGCAGAGGCCAGGAAGGTGATTCAGATGGGGCAGGGCATGGGCAATGGGATGGGGGGCAGGAAGCACTAGTTAGGACTGGGGAAGCTTATTCACTAGGGCTTATCAACAAGTGCCCCACTGGGGGTCTCTCTGCGTATGTCCTATTACCTTCCTGGGCTGATTGCATACTCCTTGAGGGTGGGGTTTCCCATTGTGAAAAGTTTCCTATTATTCCTGGCCATGGATTGGGCATGGGGTATGACATGAATAAGGTCCTGGGCATGAGGCTGCAAAGGTGAATCCTCTGGGAGCTTCTCTCTAAGGAGATACCAGGACTGGCTGGAGAGGGGTGGGGGGCCGGGAGTGGGAGATCAGAGAAGGTACCTACAAAGGGTAGATGTGGTTAGTCACCTGTTTTGAAGCTCAAGGTCTGGTATATTGTGCTTTATAGTTTACAGCACACTTTTGGGAGATTATGTTTTTGGAATCTTTTAGTATAGTACTACCCAGGAAATGGGGACCGCAAGTGTTATCCTGGGCTTCTAAGTACAGACTTGCAGGTGAAGCTCAGGGTGGGGAGGTACCTTGCCCAGTGTCACACCCTCAGTAGCCTGTTCTGTTGATGCTTCTGACCTGCGAAGAAGGTTCCTTTTGTCAATGCTTCTTTTCTTTCTGCCTGATTTTTCCTTGGCCATCCCAGATAGGTAGATTTTCCTGGGAGAACTGCAATGGCAGGAGGGACCCTGTGCTGCTCAAAAGCATGACTCTGGAACCTGACCCCATTAACTTTCCTGGGAACGTGACTATCAGCGCCGAGTTCCAGATCCGTGTCCCCCTCAGCAGTCCTCTGAAGGTGAGCCTGGGCATGGGCATGGTTGGGGAGGTGCTGGAGGGAAGGTGCGGGGGGCCATATGGCAGGGGCCCTGAAGGATGTATGTTCAGGGACCTGTGGGTAATTGTGCAATCCCGATTTCGCAAAGCAACAAAGGATGCATAGATGCATAGACTGTCTAACAACCCCAGTCGGGCAGTGTTGTTGTGGTGCTGTTGTTAATTATAAAACAGACACATCACTTCGTAAGTGACATCTAGTCACTTTGGAAATCACAAATTGCCAAAAGGTGGGGAGAAATATATCACCTGAAATCTCCTACCCAGTGATAGGGGTAAACACTTTTAATATTTGGTAGGCAAGTCTTTAGAACTGTCCCCCAATCAATCACATATAACACACATATACTTTAAAGACTTTATTGATTTCCAGAGAGGGAGTGAGACTGTAGGTCTGTCCTGGTGTACTTAACAAATCTGTTATCAGACATATAGTTTGTTTCTGTGGTAGTTTTTTGTCTGTTTGGTTTTATTTTTTGGCTGTTAGAAACACCTTTGCTGAAATTATCCTTGTAATGTATCTTTTTGTCCTTCTCTGATTACCTAGACACAGACTTTTTAGGTCTTTCTGGTGCCTCCAGATTTTTGAATCCATGTACGCTCTCCAACAGATTTGCCTTTTTCCACACATCTGTTGATTCTGAGCATTTTCTAATAACGTTTTCCACTATTTTATGTCATCCCTGGGGAGGTTTGATGTCTTTTCATTAATTTTTTTGCCCTTTGTGTTTCCTTTGAGATTGACCAGTTTGATCATGTCTGTTTCCTCTGTTGGGGGTGGCTATTTCCATACTTTTTTAGAACAATAAAGGCTTTTCATTATCTATTTAACACCATACATTGTCATCCTTCTCACTACTTTGAATTGCTGCCTTTATAGCATATTCTTATATGCCCTTCTGCTTGTCCTGTTGCAACTCTACTCTGGCCCCAGTTTTATTCTGATTCTTTGAAAGGTTTTTGATTTGGAATATCCCTGTAACTACCCTTCAACTTGCCCGAATCACAGCCTCTACCTCGTAGGTTGCTTGTGGACAATTGCTGGATTAATAATGTGGAGAGTACTTTGCATAGGGCCTGGCCCACAAGACCTGCTCAGAAAATGTTAACTCTTGTTAATTGTTCAATTAGTGTCTTTTCCTGCCACCCTGGGACCCAGACAGAAGCCCCGGCTGTGTGTGGACCGCTCTAGGGCCCTGCCTTCCTTGGTACCTCCTTCTAAGTCTTTTCCAGGCGAGATCATTGCATTTTTTTTTTTTTTTTAGCTGAACTTCAACTGATAATCTAGCAGGGTCACACAAATGCCATTTCCATGTTCCTGCTGGGTCTGGGGTGCAGAACTCTCTGGCAGGTGCTCTCATGCCATCGTTAGGCAAAATGCTGGCATTTCTGTGACACTGTGCATCTGACTTGGAAGGAAAAAACTCACAATCTCCTTCTGCCCCCAGCCTGCTTTTCTTGGCTTCTTCAAAGACCATTAAGATGGACACCACCACCCCCTTTCCTATTCCTTAATTACCTGTCAAATATTTGGGCCATTGCACTTTTTAAAAACCATGCTCAGGTTCCTTTCACCCTACATTTCTCCTCTGTTATTTTTGGTTTCGTTTTTTACTTTTCAGGTAATGTGCATATTAGCTATTAAATGAAAGCCACTGAACACATGTGTAGGAAAAAAGATGATTAGCCTCGTTTTACAGATAAGGGACACTGAGGCTCATAGAAGGGTGCAACTTGCCCCAGGTCACGTGGTTATCAGCACATTCAAGGCTGGGTGTCCTTATGTTGTATTGTTCCCTGTTCCTCAACTCTTTCAGGCAGGGAGGTGGACTTAGCGGCTGATATGGTTGGAGGAGAATGCTCCAGAACTTTCCCTTGCTCAGTAGAGACCCCCTTTTGAGAGAGTGTCAGGACTCCAGCCCCTTATGAGCTTGGAGGCCTCAATGGCTTCCACCTCTTGTTACTGAGGCCTAGAGAGGAGAGTGAGTGTTCCAGACCCATGGCCCATTAGCTGGAGAACCAACACATCCTCTCTTCCTCTGACCTTGCTGAGGTGGAATTTTTTTAATGCAGAGTCTCATCTCGGACCTGGATGGACTTAACCCCAGCGGCAATGTTGAGAACTGGGTGTCCCAAATTCCATGAGCCAGGAGCTAGGGGCCACCCAGGAGCTCCCTTTTCCTCTTTTGACTTGCTTCATAGGATCTGGAATAATTTACAACTCCCTTCTGTGGGCCCTCTCTCAAGTTCCAGCCTCCGGGACCCTGGTTTTCCCATCCTCAAGAATCATAAATTGCTGTTTTATTTGGCATATAGCCTTATGTGGGGCTTTTAGACATGGCTTTCAGGCCTGATGGTTTGGCTTTTTTCCCCTCTAAAATCATGTACCTGCAGTGCCCCTGCCTGAGGCCTGTGGCCTTTATAACTGCCCCCTTCCCAGGGCATCACATGACTCCCCTTCACTTCCTATCAGTGTGTCTTTATCTAGAGCTTCTGTGTGCCTATCCAGGTGGGAGAGGCCAAGAGAAATCATTTTAACCTGTAAGAAATTTTTACTCTTAGGATGTCACAACGGGTCAGTGTCTTTGAGATCGTGAGATCCAATTATTCCATTGTTAGGATGGAGGAGTGGAGACCTGATGGGGAAGGGACTTGCTTATGGGTCCTGGCAGGTGCAGGGCTCCTGTCTTGATTACCTGTCAGTGCCTCTGTCTGTCTTGTTGTCGGGACAGGTTCCATGACAGAAGTTTATTTAGATCGAGCTACCTAACTGCAACAGAAGTCTTGGGCTAGAGAGATTTATGGTACCTTTTTACCCAGCCTTGAGTGCTTTCCTGAGCCATGAGAGCAAGTCGGTTGAGAACAAGGGCTGGGAAATGAGCCATGGTTTGCAGTCCCCAAATGATAGGCGTGACTGCTGCCTCAGAAGTGCCTGTTGCCCCCCCTTCCATGCATCGCCACTGAGTACCACTGATGCTGTGCTTGTCCTGGGTGGGGGAGGCATGGCTCCTGGTAGATACAGCCCCACATGGGAGGACACCGGGCAGGACTTGGCCCTCACTGGTCCCCTCATCTGGGCTTTTCTGCTTAGGGCATAACTGACTCAACCATTTTCCTTGGGATATTGGTGAAACAAGGGGAGGGGAGACAGTATTGGCTGAGGGAGAAGGGAGGACAGATAGTCCTACAGGAGTTAATGTTTGGCTCTCAGACACTGTGCCAAGTGTTTTATGGGCACTGTCCCACTCGATGGGATCTTGTAAGAGAGGCAGACATATCCTGCTTTTGAGGTAAGGGAATGGAAACTGAGAGAAGTGGCTCCAGGCAAGGGCAAAATACTGGAAAGTGGCAGGAATTGCTTTCTAACCCAGGCCCTGTGGTTCTTCCTTGGCAGAGGGGCTGGAACAGGCTTGGCAGGAGAGCAGAGAGGAGGGCTGGGAGGGGTGTGTGTGAGTGGGGCGTGGGGGATACTGTGTGCATCAGCAGAGCGGGAGGATGTCAGTGAAGGAGACGATTTGAGTTTGTCCTCTTAGCATCCAGAGTATACTGACATCTCCCTTCCTCCTGGATTATGACATCTATGGCAGTTGGGAGACTGAGTCCACAGCCTGGAGAGCCAGCCCGAGCCCTCCAGGGTTTGTCTCAAACAGAAAAGTCCTAAGTCAAGTGAGCCTGGAGGCTGGGAAATATGGAATTGCTAGGATGTCAGAACTGAAAAGTGTCTTAAAATTGTGGTTTCCTGCCATAACACCCACAAGGGGTCAGATGCTCAAGTGAGCTAACGTCCTCCTGCCCTTTCCTTACTATCTTCCCTTGATACGTTTTGGGGGGTTGAGGGCACGGATATGGTCAAGAGAGACAACTCCCTCAGTGAATGCCTGGCACACATCCGGCACAGCTGGGACTGTCTGCCTTGAAATCCTGGCCACTTCTAGGTCAGTGGCAACCTCTAGAACGGGAATAGCATCCTGACGGCATGGAGGTGTGAAGCACATTGTAGATCTTCTCGTCCAGCTTCTCTCTGGCTGTAGGGCTCCTCTGGTGGCTTCTCCAGCTGAGTCCAGGGAGCCCACCACTTCTTGGGGGTTAGTTCTGTCTGTTGTAACCTAGCTATGATGGTTAAGAAGGTCTTCCTTTATATCAATCCCATAGTGATCTCCCTATAAATTCCTTTTGTTTTCTTGGGATGCCTGGGTGGATCAGTTGGTTAAGTGTCTGCCTTCGGCTTCAGGTCATGATCCCAGAGTCCTGGGATCGAGCCCCATATCAGGCTCCCTGCTCCATAGGGAGTCTTCTTCTCCCTCTCTGTGATCTCTTCTTGCTCTCACTCTCAAGTAAATAAATTTTTAAAATGTTTTAAAAAATAAATACTGTGTTTGGTAGCTATACAGAGAAAATTTGATCCAAAGATAGAAAATGGTTTCTGCTCCAATTGGCTGGCAGTAGCTGAGGTCCTACACAGACAAGGGCTCTGAAGCCAAGACTGGACTGAGAAGAGAAGTCTAGGAAATGGTGCTAGTTAGCCAGTTAGCAGTTAGATGGCAAGTGCCTTGCAAATCCAGTGCCACCGATGGTAGTGACTACCTAAAGAATTCTAAGACTGAGGTTCATTGAAGGGTGAAAAAAATCACAGCAATGATTAATACCTGCCATGGGCACTGGAAGAGGTGCTATTGGGATATGTGCCACCATATTGTCACTGCTCTATCAGAATATCTCCAAGATCCCATCTGATTAAAAATTCTTTGATTAAAATAAAATGCTGATCTTTTGGAGATATAGAGAGGCTGGGATGTTTGCCTTGGAATTCATACTGTTTCAAACTCTTTCTCACCAGGTGGAATTAACTATAGAGAAGGAAATGGCCAGCTTCTGGGTCAAAGTTCCATGTATGGGCCATGCTGGTAGCTGCACCTTTGACGACATCTGCCAAATATTAGACGTTTTCATCCCCCCCGGACAGCCGTGCCCAGAGCCCCTGCATACCTATGGGCTTCCCTGCCACTGTCCCCTCAAAGCAGTAAGTACTTAGGGAAGGAGAGTATTATTTCTGTGGCTGGAGTAAAAATGTGGGGTTTGGAGAGATGGGTTCTCGCATTCTCCTTCTGCAGATCTGGATGTTTGTGGGTGAAAATTGGTGTGATCTATCCTGAATTGCTTATGTTTGGGGGGCCTTGGTTTATCCACTTGTGAACTGGGTGACTTGAGCTGCAGTGTGGCCTCCAGTGCCCATGAGCTGTAACCTTCCATGCTGTGTAGTGCTCCAGCCATCTCTAATCTCACGTGGCACTCAGGAGAGTGGGAGGAGGGGCAGTTCATGGCTGCAGTCTTACAGGAGAGCTCCAGGACAGTCCCGTCAGTAGGCTCCCGCTGACCTGTGATCCATTGGTTTTCCCGCAGGGCACCTACTCAGTGCCCAAGTCTCAGTTCACCCTGCCTGACATGGAGCTGCCCGGCTGGATCAGCTCCGGGACCTACCGCATCCAGAGCATCCTCAGCAGCGGTGGGAAACGTCTGGGCTGTTTCAGGATCTCTGCTGCTCTGAAGGGCGAGTAAAGTGGCACCAGCCACAGCAGAATGAAAGGGTATGAGGAAGATGTCCCACTTCTTCTGCCTTGCATTTGCCAAGGTCAAATTCTGACTCTCTGTCCCCTTTCAAGCCCCTTTCTACAATGATGCCACTTTCCTCACTGAAAATCCTTCTGTGCCACCTGCGTTCTAGGCTTGGGCAGGCAGCTCTGACCTGGGGAGGAGCTTGGAAACTCTTGATAGCCCATGACCTGCCAGGCCGGCCGTTTCATCTTCCTTCTCACACCTATGATTTTCTCTCTAAGAGCTTAACTCATTTTCTAAATAATTAAGCAATAGGACTAATATGTTTTGTGACCCCAAGTTCAGACTGACCCAATCTTGTTTTCCTGAGGTATATCCATGATTTTCTTTTTTTTTAAATTTTTTTTTTTAAGATTTTATTTATTTGACAGAGAGAGAGAGAGAGAGATCACAAGTAGGCAGAGAGGCAGGCAGAGAGAGAGAGAGAGGAGGAAGCAGGCTCCCCACTGAGCAGAGAGCCCGATACGGGGCTTGATCCCAGGACTCTGGGATCATGACCTGAGCTGAAGGCAGAGGCTTTAACCCACTGAGCCACCCAGGTGCCCCAATATCCATGATTTTCTTAAAAAAAATTTTTTTTTGGTCACAGACTTGAAAGCAGAATGAGAGTATGAACAGTCTTTGTTTTACTCCAAGCCTGCTTACAAGGAAGGGACTAAAGTAGTTCAGCTTAGCCTATTCCTCCATTAACTGCTGTGATTCATTCAGTATTCTTTTATAGATTTGCCCAGGAACAGCGGGGCATAGCGTGTCCTGGGGAGGTAGGGCACGTGGTGGAGGGCTTCACTGGGAGAGGTATTTAAGAATGCTGTATGTATTTAAGAGAGTTTACAAGCTCAGCTGCCTGCTGGGCCAAGCACGAGACCTAAACGAGTGAGGACAACCACGAGGAAGATATTGCTTCCAGGCACGTCTTTTTCCCCGTGTTGTGTAGCAGCTCATATCCATTGTTATAAGGCAGCTGGTGTCCAGTCTCGAGCTTGGGACTATTATCAAGGCTGATGGGGCGTGAGTTGAGTTAGAGAGGGTGCGCTCAGCCCTTAGGGGCAGCTGGTGCCGCATGAGAATGTCGTGGGCCCACTATTACCAAATAGTCTCCATTTTTTTTTTCCTTGGAGAAGCCAGAAATCCAGACTTTTATATGAAATCTTAGAGTTTTTACATATTGGCAACTAGCTATTTTTTAAAACACTGTGCAGGCCAAGAGGGCCAAACAGACTTGCCAGTGGGGAAGTCTGGCCCGATGTGGCCGGTTTGCGACCTCTGATGTAAGAATACACATTGTCCTTTCGATCTGGAGACAACTCCTCCAGTGCTGTTTTTCCCTCCCTAGGGTCAAATCCATAGTGTCTGACGCATGGACCAGGCTCTTCCAGGGCTCGGGGAGGGGGAGGCAGCCTCTCAGGATGGGAGCTGCAAGAATCACGAGGCCGCCTGCCCCTGTCTAGGAGTGCTGTCAGGGTGAATGGGGAAAACCCTGAAGATTTGGAACACACCAGCAGCTGCTCTGTGGAGCAAGGATCCCATGAAGAGGGGGGGACCATGAAGGGATCCCATGAAGAGGCCATCGTCCCATCCTCCACACAGCCTACTGACCTATGGATCGACCCCAGCTTCTATGGATCGACCCCAGCTTCTGGGCTCATTTGAAGCCTGGAATGGCAATAAAGCTTTTTAACTTGCTGAGAACTCCTCCTTTGTCTTGGCTGCATATTTGTCCATCTTGGGGTTTTAGGAGCTTGTCAGGTGGGCTGCTCCTGGTGGAAGGGTTTGTTGTGATGGCACAGAAGAGCTGAGGTGGTTCCAGGGATCCTCTTCTGTGTTTGTCCTGTGAGTTGCTTGTTATCCCTGCCTTATTCAGCCTCATCACCATCCAATGTCCTTGATTTACTTTTTGACTTTCTTATTGCTCTGTGACCATGCCAGCCTTTCACCCTTTTGGCTTTTTTTGTCCTGATTCTCACAGTTGTTTTCAGTTCATATTTGAGAATGGCATCTCATTATGTTGGTCTATCTTCCCATGTCATGACAGGCTCTTGGGTCCAATGTTCCCCTGGGTGTCAGTGGGGAAGGGGTGAGAAATCTCAAATCAGAGGCAAAATAGACTTTTTAAGGAGTGATACTGAGCCAACTGGAAAGCCATTTGGAAAAAGTTGAAAATAGATTTGTACATCACACCATATGCAGAATAAACTCCAAATGGATCCAGGGTGTAAATGTCAGAAAATGAAACCATACAAATACTAAAAGAAAACATAGGTGAAAAATCCAGAGGTGGTAAAATATTGACACATTTGACTACCTTAAAAAAAAAAGTCACTTCTTAAGAAATACCATAAAGTCAAAAGACTGGAGGAAAACATTTATAGCACATATAATAGACAAACCATTAATATTTCTACCATATAAAGAATGAAACATTCAAGGGACTAAAAACTTGATAGAAAAATTGAGAAAAGACAAGTAGACAACTCTCTTTTCTTTCTCTCACACATACTCACACTAAGATGTAAAAATGACCCTTAAACCTGAAAAATGTACAAACTTACCCAAGATTAGAGAAATGTCAATGAAACACTAGAGAGAACGTCACATCTCAGACTGGTAAACAATGGAAGTACAACCACATGGCTAGGCAAGGCTGTAGGGAGACAGGCATCCCTACACAGCTGGTGGGAATGCAAAATGGTACAATTCTTGACAGGAATTTGTCACTACCTAACCAAACTTCAAAAACACTTACTTTTTGATCCAACATTTCACCACTGGGGATTTCCTCTAAAGATAAACCTCCAACAATAAAAAATATGCCCGGATGTGATTATTCACTGCAACATTATGATTACAAAGACTGGGAATATAAGTGTCTATAAAAAAGTGACTGAATGAACCACAGTATATGTGCACACTGAGTACTTTAGCTATAAAAACGAATGAGGAAGAGGCTCAAAGAACCATCCCTTCCAAATCAATAAAAATAAGTCAACGCCCTGACATCTAATAGTAAAACTTATAAATCTCAGAGACAAAGAGAAAATCCTGAAAACAGCTTGGGACAAGAGGTCTATAACCTAAAATGGTAGAAACATTAGATTGGCAGTAGACCTATCCACAGAGACCTGACAGGCCAGAAAGGACTGGCATGATATATTCAGAAAAATATATATCCAGAATACTTTATCCAGCTAGGATGTCACTGAAAATAGAAGGAGGATAAAAAAAAACTTCCAGGGCAAACAGAAACTGAAAGAATATGCAATCACCAAAGCAGCCCTACAAAAAATATTGGAAGGAGTCCTCTAAGCAAAGAGAGAGCCCAAAGGTAGCATAGACCAGAAAGAAACAGAGACAATATTAACAATCACCTTACAGGCAATACAATGGTACTAAATTCTTATCTTTCAATAGTTCCCCTGAATGTAAATGGGGCTAAGTATCCCAATCAAAAGACACAGGGTATTAGATTGGATAAAAAAAGCAAGACCCATCGATAAGCTATATGCGTGAGACTCATTTTAGACCCAAAGACACCTCTAGATATAAAGTGAGAGGGTGGAAACCATTTACCATGCTAATGGACATCAAAAGAAGGCAGGGGTGGTAATCCCTATATCAGACAAATTAGATTTTAAACCAAAGACTGTAATAAGAGATGAAGAAGGACACTATATCATACTTAAAGTGACTATCCAACAAGAATATATAACAATTGTAAATGTTTATGCCCATAAAATGGGAGCACCCAAATATATAAGCCAATTAATAACAAAATTAAAGAAACACATAAAAAAGAACACAATAATAGTAGGGGACTTTAACACCCCCTCACTGAAATGGACAGATCATCTAAGCAAAAAAAAAACAACAACAAGGAAATAAGGGCTTTGAATGACACACTGGCCCAGATGGACTTCACAGATATATTCAGAATATTCAGTCCCCAAGCAACAGAATACACATTCTTGTCTGTGGACATGGAACAGTCTCCAGAATAGATCACATCCTGGGTCACAAATCAGGTCTCAACTGGTACCAAAAGATTGGGATCACTCCCTGCATAATTTTGGGCCATGATGTTTTGAAACTGGAAATCAATCACAAGAGGAAATTTGGAAAGAAGTCAAATACATGGAGGCTAAAGAGCATCCTACTAAACAATGAATGAGTCAACCAGGAATTTAGGAAGAATTTTAAAAATCTTTGGAAACAAATGAAATGAATACACAACTGTTCAAAACCTTTGGGATGCAGCAAAGGCAGTCCTAAGAGGGAAGTATATAGCAATACAAACCTTTCTTAAAAAACAAGAAAGGTCTCACATATACAACCTAATCTTGTACCTAAAACAGCTGGAGAAAGAACAGCAAATAAAGCCTAAACCCAGCAGGAGAAGAGAAATCATAAAGATTAGAGCAGAAATCAATGAAATACAAACCAAAAGAACAGTAGAACAGATCAACAAAACTAGGAGCTGGTTCTTTGAGAGAATCAATAAGACTGATAAACCCTTGCCCAGAGTTATAAAAAAGAAAAGAGAAAAGACCCAAATAAATAAAATCATGAATGAAAGACGAGAGATCACAACCAACCCTGAAAAAATACAAACAATTATAAGAACATATTATGAGCAACTATATGCCAACCAATCAGGCAATCTGGAAGAAATGGGATTGATTCCTAGAGATGTATAAACAACCAAAGCTGAAACAGGAAGAAATAGAAAACCTAAACAGACCCATAACCAGTAAGGAAACTGAGGCAGTCATCAAAAAACCTCCCAACAAACAAGAGCCCAAGGCCGATGGCTTCCCAGGGAAATGCTACCAAATGTTGAAAGAAGAATTAATACCTATTCTTCTGAAGCTGTTTCCAAAAATAGAAATGGAAGGAAAACTTCCAAACTCTATGAGGCTGGCACTACCTTGATCCCCAAACCAAAGACCCCATCAAAAAGGAGAATTACAGACCAATCTCCCTGATGAACATGGATGCAAATAGTCTCGCCAAGATACTAGCCGATAGGATCCAACAGTACAGTATAAGGATTATTCACCACGACCAAATGCGATTTATTCCTGGGTTGCCATGTTGGGTCAACATCTGCAAATCAATCGATGTGATACACTACATTAATGAAAGAAAGGTCAGGAACCATATGATCCTAAAAAAAAAGATCGGGGGAGAACCATATGATCCTCTCAATAGATGCAGAAAAAGCATTTGACAAAGTATAGCATACTTACTTGATTAAAACTTGTCACAGTGTAGGATGGAGGGTACATACCTCCATATCATCAAAGCCATCTATGAAAAACCCACAGTGAATATCATTCTCAATGGAGAAAAACTGAGAGCTTTTCCCGTAAGGTCAGGAACACGGCAGGGACGTCCACTATTATCACTGTAGTCAAAATATTATAAGAAGTCCTAGCCTCAGCAGCCAGACAACAAAAAGAAATAAAAGGCATCTGAATCGGCAAAGAAGTCAAACTCTCACTCTTTGCATACGATATGACACCTTGTGTGGCAAACCCAAAGGACTCCACTCCAAAACTGCTAGAACTCATATAAGAATTCAGTAAAGTGTCAGGATATAAAATCAATGCACAGAAATCAGTTGTATTTCCGTACACCAACAATGAGACAGAAGAAGGAGAAATTAAGGAGTTGATCCCATTTACAATTGCACCCCAAACCATAAGATACCTAGAAATAAACCTAACCAAAGAGGTAAAGGATCTGTACTCAGAACATTATAGAATACTCATGAAAGAAACTGAGGAAGACACAAAGAAATGGAAAAAAGTTCCTCGCTCATGGATTGGAAGAACAAATATTGTGAAAATGTCTATGCTACCTAGAGCAATCTACACATTCATTGCAGTCCCTATCAAAATACCATCAACTTTTTTCATAGAAATGGAACAAGTAATCTTAAAATTTGTATGGAACCAGAAAAGACCCCCAAATAGCTACAGGATTGTTCAAAAAGAAAACCAAAGTTGGTGGCATCACATTTCTGAACTTCAAGATCTATTACAAAGCTGTCATCATCAAGACAGTATGGTACTGGCTCTAAACGAGGCACATAGATCAATGGAACAGAATAGATAACCCAGAAATGGACCCTCAATTCTATGGCCAACTAATCTTCGACAAAGCAGAAAAGAATATCCAATGGGGAAAGAAAAAGTCTCTTTAACAAATGGTGTTGCGGACGCCTGGGTGGCTCAGTTGGTTAAGCAACTGTCTTCAGTTCAGGTCATGGTCCTGGAGTCCCAGGATCGAGTCCTGCATTGGGCTCCCAGCTCCACGGGGAGTTTGCTTCTCCCTCTGACCTTCTCCCCTCTCATGCTCTCTTTCACTCTCTCTCAAATAAATAAATAAAATCTCTAAAACAAACAAACAAATGATGTTGGGAAAATTGGACAGCCACATGCAGTAGAATGAAACTGGACCATTTCCTTTCACCATATACAAAAATAGACTCAAAAGGGATGAAAGACCTAATGTGAGACAAGAATCCATCAGACTCCTAGAGGAGAACACAGGCAGCAACCTCTTTGATCTCAGCCACAGCAACTTCTTCCTGGACACCTTACCAAAGGCAAGGGAAGCAACAAGGGCAAAATGAACTATTGGGACTTCAAGATAAAAAGCTTTTTTTACAGTAAAG